AAGGTGGGGGAGCGGTGGGGCCGGCAAACTCCGCAGGCCACAGAATGCCCGTGTGAAAACCCCACCACCAAGTTCCCAGTGACCTGTCACTGACGCTCGCCTACGCTGCAGAGCTGTTTCCCGTAACGAACACACGACTGCGTAACTCTGCCTATCGAAGTGGTCCAGCTCCCAACACCCTTTTAATTTTTTACTGCTTGGGTCCTTCCTCCTCCAACCCAAGAAACCGAAAGTTTGGAAACACACCACACAGCCTCCACCTTCTCCCTCGATGGCTTCCAGTGATAGCTGCTTACAACCCAAGGAATGCTGTACGTCTCAGCTTGTAATTGTTACCTACATTTAATAGATTTCTGGATTCTCCAGCCAAGTTCCATATTATACGCTGGGCTGAGTTATGAGCCGTGGCCAGCTGCCCAATGGTTAGAAACACACTGTAAATCAGGGACACCAAATTACTAATAAAAGTATGTTCCTACTGTGTGATTCAAAATATGTCAAGTTTCACATAATCGTATATTCATTATAAGCTGCAATCCTCTTTTTATTGGTTTACATAGGCTGGAATTACAAACATATTACAGCAGCATTTCATCACATGCTCTTTAGGTCCTGGTAACTGTTGAAACAGAAACCATAGACTGACGAAGAAAAAGAACAACAACCCAAAGAAAACAATCTCCCGTAGCTTCACCACTCCAGCCTTCAAAGAGGTTCAGGGGTTACTTCTCCCCTTCTCAAAAAAAAGGAGAAACTTCAGCATTTTCCACAACCAGCATTGATATTTTTAATCATGGGGGGTTTTTTCCCTAACTTTTTTCCTTTCCACAGAAATTTCTGCTATTTGAAAAACTAGAGAAAACATCAAATTAATGTGGGGCATCTCCAGCGCTCACAGTGAGACCTGCTCCCCCAGCCCTCTCACCACCCAACCTGCTTCACCTTTGACAAAACCTGTTTAACTACCGTTGGCTCTTCCTGTGGGACCTCGTCCAGAGCCCACTAACTGCCCATGCCACCCCGCGGCTCAGCCCTCTGGGGAACACCCCACAGACACCATGGCAAAGCCAGAGGTCTGTGTGGAGAAGACTGGCCCTGTTGTTGCCCCTGGAACAAGCTGTTGTGGGGAAGTCCTGGTTTCCAGCATTTTCTCAGCTGGAAAAGGCTGGAAGGTACAGTACACAAGACCGGTTACGGCAAGTCCAACCGTGCATCACCTAAGCCTTGGTCCCCCAAAAACCCAAACTCAGATGCTTTAACACGGCCCCGTGACCAACGTGGCTGGAGATGGTTCCTGTATCTAGTCCCACCTCGCAGCCGAAAGCGGGATTTCCTGAGCTGAAGGCAGCAGCCAGGCTGCTGCTGGGCCTGTCCTCTCAATCTGTCTTGTTCTTTTTTGAGGCCATTTATAGTTTCGTCTGCACAGTTTCCTGTAGCAGTGAATTCCCCAAGTCACTCGTTGGAAAAAACACTTCCTTTTGTTGGCCTAAAACCTGCTACCCAATAGCTTATGTGAATATTTACATGAGGGAGAGCAAACGCGCGCAGGGGAAGAGAAGTTCACTGTAAATACGGTGATGATGAAGACTATCCACTGGATGAACTCTTTCATGGATTATTTTCATCCTGCTATTACATTTGCTACATCAATACAATGAGCTGACTAAAAGTGGCTCAAAGAAAATAAATCATAATTCAGTGGGAAGGTAAAACTGCTCTTTTTCTCCTTCTTTCTCATAAACAGATATTCCATAAATTATAATTCAGTGGGAAAGAAACCTGCTCCTTTTCTCCTCCTCTCTCATAAACAGATATTCCAAGCCTACTGGCTACTGGAAGGATTTCTAGGATTTCAGTTTAGGCTCAAGGTGCACAAACTGGATATACTGGGCAGGGGAGCAGAGCTGTACAATGTGCCATTAAAACACACATACCTGCCGAAAGCTCCATAGGTGTTCACTATTCTGAGAGGGTTGAACGAGGTGTTCATGACTTGTCTGGAGTTGAGCAGGTTTAGGACAACCGGGATGCTGAGATAAGCAATGAGGAGGCCAAAGGAGATGTTCACCACTCTGCGGACATAGCAGCCTGTTGGGGACACAAAGCAGACCAGAAGGTGGTGATTTCACCGCCAGCGATGGGCTCTGCTCCCCCCACTCCCCTGCCCGACACCCCCGCCGTGCCTCACCCCCTGCCCGGGTGCTCGCAGCTGCTCCTGGGCTGACTAAACCCTCCGCCGTGATCGACCCGACCTTGCCAGGGGCTGTACGCTATCGCCCCGGAGATCTGTCTTTCTCCAAATAGTCTGAGAAAGAGCTAAAAAGAAAAATGTCTAAAATGTAAGATTAATCATCGCTTTCATACGGGGGAAAACACACAGCTGGCACCCGCACCTTGCCCAAAATCGCCCTCCCGGTCCATAAGCCGTGCGTGGAGTGCCTCCAGCTCCCCGCGGCTCCGTTCCTGCCCGTGGCTGTCCCAGGCTCTCGCCGCCCGGACTCACTCCCTGCATTTCCCCCCCTCCTCGCTCACTAGCTCCATTCAAACCTCATTTTCCTTTTGCAAATCCCTATTACGTATCATTTCTGAATGAGATGTGTGCTGCTTCACCAGCACTTCGGTGTGTCGGAGCAGCGCGGGGCTGTGCTGGATTTCAGTCGGAGGCACCTACTGCAATCAGACAAATAAGCAGATGTGACCCCTGAGGGGTTCCTACCCTCGTGGCCCTTTTAAATTTGTTTAACATTAACAGCCAAAGGATCAGATTCAAAGCAATTGCATGTAGCTTTCCCCTTATCTCTGCGGGAGAGGGATGTTTATTTGAACCTCTCTCAGAAGCTATTAATAATTGTTTAGTCTGAGAACATTTCTGGATAATCATTTGATTTGGGAAGGAGCTTGCCGAGATGCCACCCCTCGCCCCCTGCGCTGCGGTATGAGCCCGTTGGGCACTTTTTTGTCTTTTGGCTAAAATTCCTAGTCTGTAATTAAAGAGAAGGCACAGGCACAGCAGCTTTCCACCGTACGGGCAGCGTCAGCGGGCTCCTCAGGTCCCAGTTTATGGCCACGCATGGTCTGCTCACCCTTCACAGGTAGTGGCTGTCATCATGCCCTTGGGGTCACAACTACTCAGTCAGAGAGAAGAAGGGCTTAATACATGGGAAAATAAAAAATCTACGTGGTAAGGATGGAGCAAGACCTGGGGAGGGAGCGTGGGACATGAGCCAATGGGATCTGGATCGAGCAGGCAGGAGCTGAGCACTAGCAATGGGAATTGGAGGTCTCGGCAGGAATTACACACACATACTCCAAGGATGTGGCCAGAGCCTTGTAAAATCAGGTCACGAGTGGGGCATGGCTGGGCAACCCCCTGTCTTCTGCTCTGGTGACCCAGGGGTGAGGGCTCCTCCAAGCCTCTTGCCACAGAACCCGTCAGCACCAGCGCAGCAGCCTCTGCTTTGTCAGCAGGTAACATCT